GTTTCTTACCGAGCTCGAAACCTCTTTTGCACACAGACCCTGTAAGATTTTGAACATCTGTCAGTGAGGAATAGAGGCCACGAAACTGCCATATGCCCCCAATTCAGACCCTTTGTTTGGAACTCTCTGTGACATTTGAAATGGAATGACTGATAAATATGTCCAAAACTAAATAAAACTGATGCCCAAAGGTTTCGTGCACAACACAAAACCAATGGTTCCTACGCAAAATAACAATGAACACAATTAGTGTTGAGTCGAAGTTTTGTGTGGTATCTGTGATTGCTCTGTTTTCCGTTATGTTTGAAACTATCGTGACAAAATATCGTAATAAAATATAGTTTATTGCAAAGACACAATTCTCCATTCATTGGGCATTCAATATATCGCCATTCGATCAATATTGATACTCTTCAATAAATGCGCAAAGACAATTTTACGTTTCTTTGATTTCGCACAATTTTGCCAAGCCTTATTTTTTTAAAGGTCAATTTTGAGTGACAATATCTCGGGCGTCTCTTAAAATAGATTAAATATTAATGTCAGATGATGAAGAATTTATTTAGCTTTAAATTGGAATGCTACATGAGTGGGTAATGCAAGGTTTTAACACGATGACTGGGTGATTACATTTTCAAGTTTCTTTTGGACGCCACTGTATAACGGACTACGTTTACTATTTACAGTAAGTTTTGCACCTCCAGACTTTTAGGAGTTTTCTCTCAAATTGGGCTCTTTCAGGGGGGGGGGGGGGAGGGGCACAAAAATCTATCATGCGAAAAGTTGTTAAGATATCGTCATAATTTTCGGTATACTGATAGATGAAACATTATTCTAGTGTGATAAGTAGTGACGTCAAAAAAAATCTTGAATAAATGATTTTATTATAAATTTAATCCGTTGTTTGGATCTCAGATTTTTTTGTGGTCAAAATATTCCCATATTTAGGACCTCGATTCTGGAAAAGTTTTTCCTCCTACATCAAAAATGCCAAGTCCATCCTCTAAAACAGCCACGGAAGGCTGCAAAACCACTTATTGCAACATTTAAAACCATTTATAACCTTATGATAGATTTTTTAGAAATGTGTGCATTTTCTATATATGACATTCCAACATGGCAGGCGTTACCTTAGCAACACAAAAGAATTTTCAAAATTTTACTTCATGACTTAATTATCCACTCTTTTTATATTGATGCTAACCAATAATGCTACCACATTTGTAAGCTTAGTTTCTTGTTCTTAACGAATTTCAAAATTTCCCCCTCATCATGCCTTAAACCGGCAGTGGACGCTCCGTCTAAACGAAGCTTGAGTGCCGTGAACGTAGCCTCAACCAAGCCTGCAAACTGCATTCAGGGCTCC